CCCTAGTTTATTGAAGAGTACCCTCTTTTTTGGTAGAACCCCAATACAGCAGTGTCAGAAAATGTTAATGTGCTTTGAGCACATCTATAATAATAGACGTTCAAATTCAAATTTAATTTGTTGGAAGAAATTTGAATTGTTGTTTAAAAATAGATAGTACATTCGTGGATCTTTTCAATTTTCTTGTTTTAAATGACGCATAAAACTTAACTTTTACTTTCAAATTTTTTTTTTTTTAATTTTGTTGTTAATAGTTTGAAGTTCTTATGAGGGGGGGAGTTACTTCCCTTAAAGGGGAGTAACTCCCCCCTAAGTCTAGCCCTCCTAGCAGTGGCGGATTAAAACTTCTTGGAGCTATTGTTGTTTTTGGAGGCTTTTTTATGAGCCAGAGCCTAAAAGTGACTTGAAAAAAAAAAGGCTCTCAAAAATTTTTGGGGGCCCCCAAATTTGCGGGGCCCGGGGCTGCAGTCCCCCTAGTCCCCCTCCTTGATCCGGTGTTTTTTATTTAATTTTTAAATTGTATCAATAATATTTTGAAGTTTAAAATTTCTTAGAAGTAGTTACCCCCTCCACCCCCTTTGTATGCTCCACTGCGGCTGACTGGTCCAAATAGTCTATATTGGCCAACTGATTTGTCATAATGTCATCATAAATGACAAATAATGGTTTTAACATTTTGTGGTTATGAAAATAACCTTTTTTTTTTAATCAATAAATGTGAAAATGAAGAGCCTAATGTTGGCTTTTAATTTGAATTAACGACTTTCTTTTTCTTTTTGGTAAAGGATTATTTTCAATATCTATGATATTGTTGCTGTTAGATTGAACATTACCATTAATTGGATAAACTGAAAACTGCGACTTGATTGTATTGTCGTTGTAGCCAAAACCTCTGATAGACCAATTATCTTTTCTGCGACCAATTGCACGTTGTCTACCAAAATAGTTTTCAAGATCATCTTGACAGAATCTCTCAGAAAAAACAAATTGGACACCATTTTCAAGTAAAAATTTAACAACTTCTTTGAATGAATGCACTGTAATTTGCAATTCTTCATAAGTTTGTGAAGAAATAAACGTTTTTGATTTTGAGCTCTCATCAAAATTTCCTTCTCGTTGATCTATAGATTCTTTCCATAATTTAAAGTATAGAAAGTTATCTAACCAAGTAAATCGTAAATCATCTATTGTTTCGTATGGTTTTAAAAATGGCTTTTTTTTCGTTATAAATTCAGCATTATTTTTTACATTTAGACAATCAAAAAACATATCCATTATTAAAGCTTCTGTTTCAGCAGCTTCTGGTGGTCCAAACTGCCAACATTTCCGACTGTTTCGCTCAATACTTGGGATGCAAGTTGTACTCTCATTACAGAATACGGTGTTAAGTTTATATGATCGCTTGTTAGTTTAGGAACAAGTTTTAAACCTCTTTCTAAATCAGAATTATAAAATGTTGAAATATGATTCCAAAGAGGAAAAAATCCACTATTCCACATGTAGCGTGATTTACATCGAGAACCAGAATTACTTAGGCAGTTTCTAGAAGTTTTAATTAGATAAGGTACATCTGCAAAGAAAAGATGAATCTATTATCATTACTAAATAAGTTTTTAGTGCGATATATAATGTTTTTTCCTAAGCCACCATCTAATTTCTTATGCATTTTAAAAAACTTCCTATTTGGAGATGCACCATCTGCAGTTGATTCAATTACTTTCAAATTTAAACTTTCCAGATAACGCAATGCTTTCCAAAATATTGGCATAAGTTGTGTTGATGTTACTCCAGTTGTAGCAAATGTTGCTAGACTATAAGAAAGTGGGTTTACTACACTTTTAACATGAAAAACTAAAACATAAGATGCTAGCTCTCTTACATTTTTTAAGTGTTGCATAGTTTGTTTGAGTATCTTCTAAATCTACAAATCCAATCAACTTACCAGAGTACTTATCCCAGACCAAATCTTCTTGAACTTTAATTTCGTCGAACAGATTTGTAACAAATTGTTCAGCACTAGAGAAACTAGTTTTATTTGCAAATTCACTTGCAGTTTTATTTGCAAGTTCACTTGCAGTTTTATTTGCAAGTTCACTTGCAGTTTTATTTGCAAGATCACTTATGACTTGAGGATTAAAACTTCTTGAAGGATGTATATAATTTTTATAATCTCTCAATGTGCGTAAACTAGGAAGAACTAAAAACCCTTGAACCAGTCTTACTATCAAAATGCAAATCAGAAAATGCTGACGAAGATTTAGCTGCTAAATTAAAGCAAAATTTTATTATCATTGGATGATACTTAACACTGCAGGGACTAGAAGCTTGAATATATTTTTGCTGCTCATTCCAAAACAGTTTCATGAAGCCTGGAATATTTTTTTGATTAAAACCAGAATACAATGTTTTAAGGTCTTGGTCAAGTTTTAAATTAACCTTTTCACTTTCCATATTTAAAACTGTTTTCATTTGTTCAATTTGACTTTTCAACTGTTTAAACGTTGTTGTTGCAAACTTAATTTAATTCTTTCTGTGGTGGTAAACTTAAGAGGAGCGTTCAGCTATGCAGGTTGTTTTAAAGTTTTAGTTTTATTATTTACTTCATAATTAGATTTAAGTTGCAAAGAATGGCATGTTGTTGAAGAACAACAACTTAAGGATTTTATTAAAACATTACAATACGATGAATGATAAAACTCATATTGACTTAATCTAGGTTTATGAGGAAGCAGCTTAAAAAGCAAGTAATAAAATTTTTTAGTTATAACATGTTTTTCAAATTTAAAATTTTGGTTGATTAAGTCTAAATTTTTTACATAACACCTGGGCAAAGAATAAGAGTTTCAATATGACTTATAAATTTTGATAAAGAAACATTAAAGCCTTGTGATGAACAAAAACTGTGCGACGCATAAGCACGACGTGATTTTTGACATCATTAAATTCTTTTTATTTTATTTTCATATTTATCGACATTAACTGCACCAGTTTACTTAATTACCGCAAAACTACTTTAAATCATTAATGTAGAAATGTTATTATTTAAAAATGTTTTGGAATGTTTTGTTTTTTAAAATGTAAAAACATTTGTTTATTTTCTCGACGTTTGACACGTTTTGTCTATACTAAACAAATATAAAACATTATAACTAAACATTTAAAAAAGATTATAAAATATGCTAATATTTGATTTTTTTTTAATCAAATATGTAATTTAAAGTTTTTCAAATAATTATTTTTTCTTTTTAAAAAGTCAGCGAGTAATAAACTGGAAATTTTAATATTGTACAATTAAAAAATGTGCAATAGCTAATATTTTTACTTGCAATTTTATATAATATTTATTTATTTATTTTTATTTATTTCATAAAGCAGTTGATAAGCACAATCACTCGTATTGCTTAAAAACTTTAACGAACGTTTTGAATAGATTTTTAATGTTTACAAGGAATTTTATTTTTGATTAATGTTATAAAACATAAAAAGCATTTTTTTTTTTAAAATCAAATTGCCGTTTTAATTTTGCTGTTTTTTGTTTTTTGTTTTTTTTTTGTTTTTTGTTTTTTGTTTTTTTAATTTAAAATTTAAATAAATGTTTGTTTTGCTGTATTTATTTTTAAATATTTTATCTTGAGTATAAAATATTATCGTTTTTATTTTTATTATTTTGTTTAGAATTTAAATTAACATTAGTTTTGCCGTATTTCTTTTAATTACTTTTATTTAGAATATAAATAAATTATTTTATTTGGAATTAAAATAAAACTTTGCTTTTTTTTTCAAAGTATTTTATTTAAAGATGTTTGTTTATAATAAAATATAAATTAGTTTTTGTTTTTGCCGTTTTTATTTTATTATTCCATTTATAAAATAAATAAAACGTTTTGTTTCGCTGATTTTATTTCATTTAGAATTAAAATAGTAACTTGCTGTTTTTGTTTTACTATTTTATTTAGAATTTAAATAAGTTGTTTGTTATTAAATTAAATTGAATCAAATTTAAAATATAATTCATTTTAATATATTTTTGATGTTAATTTAATATTTTTACATTTCTGTTTTTCAAATGTTTTTCTATTAATTATTATTAAAGTTTGACAAGCAATTACTGCCAATCATATTTGATCAGCCGGATTTAATTTTAGGAGGTCATATTGTCAATTTTTCTGAAAGTAACTAATTATTGATCATTGATCGACCGCTACTTTGAGCGCTGGTGTTTTATAAAATGATTGTCTAGTAAGTGGCCGGGACCCCTTGCCCGGCTAAAATTGAGACTTTTTTAAAACCGGCACCAGCACTGGCAAAAGTTTAAGATTAAGCAGGGGCTAAAAATTGATAGCTGGGGCTAAGAAAAAATTTATAATACTTTATATACCATAATTTTATCCATTTGTTAAATACTGGCATATATTTATATATTTTCAAACTTAATTTACTCCAACAAGATTGCAAGCAACCACTATTAAGTTATGAGTTACTTTAAAATAGAGAATAAGTAAAAATACTAGGAAATGGTTAGCTGAAGGAAATGGTTAGTCTTCGTAATGTTGCTTCTCTATCTCTTTTCTACAAATACTATAATGGGAACTGCTCTAAATAGCTAGCGTCTCTTGTGCCATCTACTAAAATTCACTCTCATGTTCCTCATCTTAAAAATTAATCTTTTTCTGTTACTGTTCCTAAGTGCTGCAAAAACTCTTATTTGTCTAGTTTTTTTCCTCGAACATCAGTTCTTTAAAATTCGCTTCCTTCATCTTGCTTTCTTGATTCATATAATTTGCAATCTTTCAAGTTGTCTGTCAATCCTTATCCTGCCCTGCCCATTTTCATCTTTTCTCTTTCAGTAACTTCCAACTTTAATTAGTGGTTGCTTGCAGCCTTGTTGGAAGCGAAGATGTTTAAAAAAAAAATTGATTTTAGTTTTGAATAAAAATATAATAATTATACATATGCATAGAGAGAGATTTAATTTTTTTTGTTATGTTTTGTTTTTTTAG